TTAATGCATGTCATCAATTGAGCTATGCTACCGCTCCCTTTTCTTTGCTGTTTGTGTTTACAAATAATATTGACATTCATATATGAGCATGTTTGTCCATCTTTTTGGTACTTAGTAATATCTGCTTTTAATTTGAAAACTACAGAAAGAAACAAAACCCCCTCTCCTCCCCTCTATTCAGCCAGCCTCACAGCATGCATGGCCACACCAGAGTTTAAGAGTGCAGTCCACCGTAAACGCTTATTCTGCTTGGTTTGGATAAATGGTGTAACTTATGAAAGCCATGAGCTATAAGTCATGGGAAATGTAACAACCAGAAAATAAGGAAACATTTGGGAAGAGTTGGAATGTTTGTACTGAAAGCTTTCGAAGGCTCAAATCTTGGTTCAGGAGCTTACGTTTTTATGGCAGGCATGTTTACCACTCTGCCCTTGAACACATGACATAGATAAATCTCTGAAAACAAGACAAATGAGGAGCATGAGGACATATGTAATAAAAAGTGTCACAAATAGGCTCCGTTTCCAGTAAAGTAAAAGAACACAGAGAAAACCGAAGTGTGTGGTACAGCTCCAGAGAGAGACCAATGGTCTTTATCCTGGGAGCAAAACAGGCTGAGTTGCAGAGTGTTCACATCAGGCACGATGAAGGGGGAAAACCTAAGGAATGTAACTTCTATGGATGTCATATTTTAAAAATAGCCCTTTAATTAAAATATAATTGTATTTAAAATGATGCAGCATAAAACAACAATAACCACAGGTATGAATGAGTTCAGTTTAGTTACTTATTGCAGGAAGAACAGAATGTATTTTAAAGATTGGAAAATGATTTAATAAATTGTAAGCATTCACAGATACATGAGGAAAGGTGCCCGTGGCAATTGCAAGGGTTTTGGAGTCTCTGGCATTGCAGGTAGCCTTGAAGCACCTGGCGCGTGCCTTGGGAGCAGAGCCGTGCACACCCTTCACTTCAGGGCCATCCCTCCCAGCCACGTACCTAAGGGTTAAGCCACACTCTGAACTTCATGTAATCAAAGAAGCTTTGCTCTTTGGAATTGATCAGATTGTAGCATTAAGAAATCAAATCATGTATTTCTCTCTTAGGGTCCTCTTTGTTGCTACATAGGAGGTAGGAAAAGATAAGATCTCCTGAGTAAATTGGGAGTGTAGGGGTCACTTAGGAGGGTAGAAGAGGAGGGTGGAGACTCAATATAACTCAATAAAACTATAAAAAAAGAAATCAAAAGAAAACAGAAAGAAATCAAAAAGAAGAAAGAAAAGCAAAAAAATAAAATTAATCAGATAAAATAAACAATGTTCCAGCAGCTATAATAGAGTGTTCTCATGGATCAATCTGACAAATCAAAAAAAAAAAAAAAGGCTAAGCATTAAGGACAGTTTTTAGCCATATGATGTCCCAATAACAATTTACTCTATTTTATAACGTGTTTCCGCTTGTTTTTCAAGACCTGTATCTCCTCAGTGACTCCTTTTGCTAATTTGCACTGGACTATGTTGAATCACTCAGCTCTGCAATACTTTTGGCAATATATTAACTTCGTTTGCAGTCCAAGAAGAAAAGATTTTGATCATTTGTTTCTCTTTTTACTGTATGCAAACTTTCTGGAGTACGTGGAGTATATTGTTAGATTTACCTTACTGGACTTCTGTATGTATTTACACTATTATTCCCTAAAACATTATTTAAAAGTTGAAATTTTATGATGGACCCTTCCGAAGGGAATTATATAACTTTCTGGAAAACAAAATTACATTTCTCTTTGACAAAAATCCACTACTCCCATGCAGTCTCATTGGCATTAAGAAGTTGGTTTTCGTTCTCCAATGAGAATGTAGCAAGAATTCCATCTTCCGTACCAAGGCACTCAACAGTGAAGTTCAGCTTATATGACAGTTTCCCACGCCAACCTCTTTCGGCATTGGAGGACCACAAAAACCACTTAGTTGGTACTGCTATGTATGTCTATGGATGTGAACAGTTGCTGAAGGATGAAATTCCACCATGTAATCCTTCCTTTTGTTCTTTTATCAGAAGCATCTCCTGTCGTGCTTCCCATCTTTGTTCATTTCTGTTGTTTCTTGGTGTTCCTTCTCCTTCCAGGCCTGCTCATCTTCCATCCTTGCTTTGGTCCTTCAGCCCTCTCTCCATCTTCTCTCTTTCCCTCATCATCTTTTTTCCTCTCTCGGCAGCCAACTGTGTTCCCAGCCGCTCATTCCAGCTTCCCACTTAAGGAGCCAAACCTCAGAATGAATGCGTTTCAATTTTCCACTCTTGGGAAGCAAAGAAATGAATTCCTGATGATGATCCTAAGGTTGAGCCTTGTGGGTCTTTCCCATTTCTTCAAAGGAGGAAGGAGACGTGTCATAGCTATTTAGAGACCTTGTCTTGTAACACCACTGACTATACAAATAGGTTTGTGCTGCCCAAAGCTGGAAGTGTGGGCAGCTTTACCTGCCATGTTGCGTGTCTCAAGGGATTAGTAAAAGCATTTGGGATAAGATGCCCTGTTGACATTGAAAGCAGATGAAGGGTAAAATAAAGATTTCATTGTTTTGATATTGATAGAGCATAATTATTTAATATTCTGGCTTCATTTAGCTGCTGTATGTTAGAGAGTATCTATCATATAAAAATTCATACACCATTTTCCAAGGCCCCTACTGTTTGATCCAAAGATTCAGAACACAGAAGAATAGCTATTGAATTCTTGGGCATCTGGGAGGATTTAGGGGTTCTGTGTGTTTTGTCTTTGTAATGTTCTAGTCTATCCAGTGGAACTCAGAGGGAGTCCTTATCTGATGCTGTATCGTGGTTGTGGAAGAAGGATTTTCCTCAGTTGGGAAATAGACAGTGCCGCACTAGTGGTGAGTCTCATTCACAATGCAGAGCAGTTGGGGTACCTCATAAAACTCACTAATGCCTTGGAAGCCACCTCTTTACATAAACTCCATGTGTCCCAATTCCCTTGGCATCATATGCCAATGTGCTATTTCATTTCCATTAGGAACTGCTTCTACAGGGATGAACTGCTCCTCAACCCTCTATCTGTAAAAGTCTGTACCTACATAAGGTAGAAATAACCGTTGTCTCCAAAGTAAGAGTCTCTAGTTTATCTACTAGGTAACCACTCAAAGAGATTGGTTCTGTGTTTAATGATTTAATGTGTGTTTAATGATTTAAATTTTGGATTATGAATCAGTTACTAACTGTAAGGAAAGAAATATCAAGGACTTTTCTATGCATGCATAAAATACTGTGCAGACGCAACTCACATTATTCTACTACAACAAAGCCTTAATGATGATGCTAGGAATAAACTAAACACACCGTTCTAATAGGAGTGATAATGTCAACAAATTTGCACAAAAGTGGTATAATTTATGGTGTTTGGGTGTTTGTTTGTTTCCTAATGTATTTGGGATGGCTTATAAAATGGTTCCTTGCTTTAATACCTAAAGTGTAAATCCTAGTTAAGATTCCATACAGGAAGCATTATAGATCATTCAGCCTTTATGTTTCTAATTCCTATGCTTTTGCAGGCAGCTATTAGCCAAGAATAGGAAAAAGGCATTAAAACATCAGCCCATTTTCCTTTCACTTGCTCTGGTACCACTGTTGATTTGTTTTCCCTCTCTTTTCCTTGTGGCTGAATACTACGCCCCCACACAACTGCCTATTATAAGTTTTGAATAGAACTTAAATTTATATTCTATAATGAAAGTTTTTAAGAACAATGTTTTTTTAAAAAAAACTTTAAATGCATTTCTATTCTTTCAGAAAGAATAGCAGATGAAAATATTTCATGAAATGAAGAATAAAATGACCAATTTAACATAACTGTTGTTCTGAAACTACAGAGTAGCAGAAAATAGTGATTTGGGGTTTTCATCTAACAGAATAATACTAATATGAGTGTTGCCTTGGTTAAATTAGATCTAACAAAATAATCGGCTGTGGTCTGGTTCTCTCTGTTGAGGCTCTACTGACACACTCCAGTAGAACATGGACCCTTGGTCCCAGAAGGGTGAATTTCATAAATACTTTTCCAACTTAGGAATTAAGAAAAGTGTATTCATGCCCATTAATACTATGCTGAGAACCGTAGTGTTTGTTATTAAATTTTTCTCATTAAAACTGAAAGAATACAAACGAACTTAAAGAAAATTACCATTTTAAGTTAGACAAAAAGTCAAAAGACAATTTAAATTTTCTTATGTGGGATTTTTTTTTTGAAAACTTTCCTCAGGTTTCAGTGTCATAATTATGAGTGAGATCGTAATGGAAAAAAAAAACACCTTGTCGGGCACTGAGAGTTAAAATTCAGTGATGTCAGATGATTGCGAACTTGATGACCAGGCCTGGGAGAGTAGAGAACTCCATGTGGCGTCTCCGAATGAGTGTGTCTGAGGAGCTCTGCTGCCCAACACGAATGTAGAAAGGTCACAGCAAGTTTCCCGTGATTGCTGCTGGATGGTGTTTTGGCTCTAGCTCAGGATCGTGTTGCACAAGGCTAGAATCATCCATGACATTGCGCAACTGCACGGCCGGAGCTGTTTCAGCTCCTCTAATGAAAACTCCCAGGTCCTTCCTAAGAAAGCACTGAAACATACCCCCAACGTCCAGAAGCAGAAAGGGGATGTTTTAATTAAATCAGTCCTGTTTAGACAATTCTAAGATGAAGCTTTGCACCCTGAGCTTGTCTTTCGGAAATTCGACATGAATTTACCGATCATTTTAAAATTCCAGAGGCCTCTTGTATAAACAGGGAGTTTAGCTTAAGAAGTTGTATATTTGTCCTCCCAGTGGAATGGAAATGTCCGTCATGGTGACTTAAAGAAACTTTTGTGAATGTTTGAGTGAATAAACAAATGCCCCATTGCAATAAGGGAAAATTAATACAGTTTCAAATAAGAAATCATGCATCTACTGAAATATAGCATTAATAATGATAAATCTGTTCCATTTTCTCCTTGCAGTCTCCAAACGTCCACAACTACCCCGATATGGAAGCTGTTCCCCTGTTGCTAAATAATGTGAAAGGGGAGCCCCCAGAGGACTCATTGCCTGTAGATCACTTCCAGACACAAACTGAGCCAGTGGACTTGTCAATCAACAAAGCCAGGACCTCCCCTACCGCTGTTTCATCCTCCCCAGTCTCCATGACAGCGTCCGCCTCCTCACCTTCTTCAACTTCAACCTCCTCCTCATCTTCTAGCCGTCCAGCCTCATCCCCCACCGTTATAACATCAGTATCTTCAGCATCGTCTTCGTCAACAGTGTTATCTCCAGGACCCCTCGTTGCCTCTGCCTCTGGCGTGGGCGGCCAGCAGTTTTTACACATCATTCATCCCGTCCCACCTTCCAGTCCCATGAACTTACAGTCTAACAAACTCAGTCATGTTCATCGCATCCCTGTGGTGGTACAGTCGGTGCCGGTGGTCTACACAGCCGTACGGTCACCTGGAAATGTGAACAACACTATCGTTGTGCCGCTCCTGGAGGATGGGAGGAGCCATGGCAAAGGTAAGAGACACAAAACCTCACCTTGTTTCGGCACTAGAGAAGAACATGTGCTTTTCTTTCTTCCTTTCTTCCTTCCTTCCTTCCTTTCTTTCTTCCTTTCTTTCTTTCTTTCTTTCTTTCTTTTTCTTTCTTTCTGTTTCCATTGACTGGGACCTAGATTGTGTGCAGACAACTGTGTTCAAAGGCGCTCTGTGTAGAACCGTGTAGATCATCTGTTTGGCCACACTGAATGCTTGCAAGCAGTCACATATATATAGACAGTTCCCTTAGTGGAACTCAGTCCATATAACTATGTATTGAGTCATTTAATGTCAAGAGTTATGTGGTAAAATGGGAGGGGCAGCCTGTGGACAGTAGAATTATATATGACATGGAAGTTCATAAATCCCTTCTGGACATTGGTCACTGTGTGTATTTTAAAGTAAGTAAGGATTTTTTTGTATATATTCAAACATGACATGTCGCGCCCGTCTTGTCAGCAATGAAGATGCAACACCGGACTCTTCTCACTGCGTTTTTTATTCAGGACCTTAGAATAATCTTCTCATCCTCTCGCTACCTCTCGCAACCTCTCGCCCCCCTCGCACAGGGCAGAGCCAGCCTACATCTTAAAAGACCTCTGGGTAGCCAACCCCAGCAAGCCACGTGGGAAACGTAGATAGGTCCAGAAACGCAGAAGCAGGCCAGATTCTTAGCGTTAGCCATATATGGGGTTGTTCACACCTGAGAGCACTCACCGTTGGAAAGGTGGAAGGTGGGAATCAGCGCCACCTGTAAAGCATGGCATCACGCAGCTCTCTACATTGACATTTTTAGACGATTAATATAAAATGCCATGAAGATGGATTGCCTAGGATCTAGACACTTATTTTTGAATATCTTTTAAATGAGGTTGATATAAAAATGATTAAGCCAGGCATGGTGGAATGTCCCTTTAATCACAGCACTTAGGAGGCAGAGGCAGAGGCAGGTGAACCACTAAGATTTGGAGGGCAGTTTGATATATATAAAAAGATTTCCAGGTCAGCCAGTGTTACATACTGAGAGCCTGTCTTTATTTACTGTTCTATTTGTGGTGAAGACACATCATGACCAAGGCAACGTATAAAGGCAGACATTTAACTGAGGACTTTCTCACAGTTTCAGAGGTTAGTCCGTGAACATTACAACAGGAAGCATGCAACAGGAATGGCATCTGAGCAGTAGCTGAGAGCTTTATATCCTGATCCACAGGCAGGAGGGAGAGGAGAGAGAGAAAGAGAGAGAGAGAGAGAGAGAGAGAGACAGAGAGAGAGACAGAGAGAGACAGAGAGAGACAGAGAGAGACAGAGGGACAGAGAGAGACAGAGAGAGAGAGAGATAAGAGAAAGAAGTTCCATTTCCAGCAACACACCCTCTCCATCAAGGCCACACCTACTGCTACAAGACCACACCTCCTAATCCAAACAGTTCCATGGCCTGGTGACTAAGCATTCAAATATATTACCCTATAGGAGCCATTCTCTTTCAGACTGTCATAACCTGTAATAAGAATAGATGTGTATCTTTGAAATTTCATATAGCTTTGACCATCTTCTAATTCCGTTACTATGTTTTTTTTAAAGAACAGTGTAAGTTAGAATGGAAATCTTTCAAAATACATTGTTAAGGGTCTCTACGTGTTAGGAGGTAAAAAGATATCTTGTTCCATGCTCATGTGATAATACTTTGTTATTTCATTAATTGTGGTAGTAAGCACCTGTATATGGAATTACCTTCTACTTATAAGTTACTGCTTCATGCAGAGGTTTAACAGAAGAAATTGTAAATTCCATGTCTCCCACATACACGTCTAAGCACTAAGCCACCCTCTCTGCAAACATAAAATCTCATTTTATTGACTTAGTCCCTGTGAAACTGAGTGCATATTTGTGCATTCAGAGGCCAAACACAATGCTAGGATCAGACTTTCCCGATACTGCTTTTTGCTTTGACACTGTGTTACTACTGAGGCCCATGATTAAAACATGATCGATGAATGCATAAACCACTGTCTTCTCATAAAATGCTAGGCAACATAGTTGTTTTGCTTCTGGTAAAAGGTAGGATTCAATATTGAGAAATGATATATGATTGAAAGCTTGGCAGAATGTTTATAAACATCCACATAGAGCTGTGTGCTCACCCCTGAAAGTTATTATTTCATCAATATGAAATTTCTTCGTGGCACTCAGAAAAGTCTCACCTTCCCTCTTTGAGCAGAGTTAAAAATCTCCTGATTCAGGAATTTCAGTTTGCAAGTTTGAGATAGACATTTCCTGCCTTATATAGCAATGTCGCTGCCAAGGCCTATGTGGCTTGATTCTGGTACCCTGCCCAGCGGTGTGGACGGACTGAAGAAAGGCAAACATGCATGTGCACACACAGCAAAGTTGGAATCAGGTTGGATTTTCCTACCAACACCAACCTGGACCTCAGCATGTTTATTAGATATGATCTCAGGGCTGGTTAGACTCGGTAGTCTCTGTAAGTAGGCAGGCTCTGTCTGTAGACATCTGAGAGGAGGAAGCCACGGCTGCGAGCCTGTACATACTGATTAATTTTTCTTAAACGCGCATACTCACACTCCTTGAGGAAAGCATAGTCATTCGTCTAGAGCCAAGCCCATATGGGTGACAGCTTAGCCAGTTTCCCATTAGTTGATAGCTCTCAGAATCTGTAACATGTTTGTGTCCATTTCAAACTACATGGCCACTCACTCAGGGCCTTTCTCTGCTCCACACACTATGTGCCATCTGCTGTCATGGAACAGAAAACGTATCTCAGCAACACTCTGTACCCGGAAAGTGGGGGAAAAGGGGAGTAAGGTTCCTTTTTTTCAATGGATTATTTTCCTGCTGCATCCTTTGCTCTTGCTAATGACTCTGAGTACAGTGGACAAGTCTCTTTGAATAATAATAGCCTAGCTGGGTACTAAATCAGATATTTGTTTTGCTCATTATTGAGAGATATAGTTATAAATTTTTAAGAATTAACATTTAACAGGTAGTGAAGCACATCCTTATATATAATATGTATAGTATTATGTATGGTATAATTCTATATATGTGTAGACTCCAGTGTTCCTGAAGTTTTATGATCCTATATGTGTGCCCACATTAGAGGCCAGTAATTCTGCCATGCTACTTAACAGAAATATCACTTTCTTTATGAAACTAATTAGTAAATATGTTTATGTTGATTATGAGCTTTTTATATAATTTTGAATCACTAATAAATGAGCAAAAGAGATACCTTTTATTTCTTATTACCATTTTACCGCAGTTGCTTTTTGTAATTGGGGGATATAATATATGATAGTATATATATATATATATATATATATGTATATATATATATGGCTGAAACTCATATATATATATGAGGTTTTTTTTTGGAAAACATGTACTGTAGGAGCCCTGTGAGTCTCCCACTGTCATTTATTCTCTATGTGAGTTTATTTATTAGCTTCATTTTGTAGTTTTTATGTCATAAATAAAAATGTACTTAATCATAAGCCAGTGAACCATTCTACAGATTTTAAGATCATAGACATATGAAGTAAAAATGCTGCTTTTCTCACTTATAACTAAAAATTATTGTCTTAATCCTCATTTTTATCAGTGAAAAATGGAGCTAGTAACCTGATCTATCTTAGGATTTCATGAAAAGACATAGTACGGATACCATGGAGTGACCAAGTATCTGTAAACATTTGCCTTTTTATCATTATTACTTTCCCCCTAATGTTGCAAGCAATAATCCACACTTCCTTTTTTCCTCCCATACAACAGAAAGTTGATGACAGTGGTATCAGCCACAGAACTTGCTGAATTAAAGTCAACCCCAGGAAGCGGGATGGGTACAACTTCTCAAAGCTGCTAACACAACAAAGATAAGGGATGAGAGATCAGTATGAGAAATTGCCTGGAAACGCCTCATTCTTGAACTTTATTACTTCATATTAAGTTTTTATAATCACCATATTCTACAAATATTGCTATAGCATTTTATAACCTTTTATTGTTTAACTGATTAACTGGCGGACGGTAAAAGTGCTGAGGGAAAAGGTTTGCCTACCTCACAGAATGGGGAAAGGAAAGGGCACTTGGATAATTCTTCAAATCTTTGTTTTACACATATGCAGCTGGGTATGGAACAGACACCAAAACGGCTGAATAGTACTTACCATTCCACTTGGGGCTTGTCTGCTTGCGATGGATGTGCAAGGGAAAAATACCCTAAGGGGATTAGTTTTCCAAAATGCTAATATGAAAGGTATAAAATATCACTCATTTAAATTAGGTGTATTACTGGCTAATTGCTTTTGTGATTGGTATATCATACATGTTCTGTGATAGAGAAGTAGATGAGCCTACATATCACGTGACACAAAGGACTGGGAATGTATATGACCACATTTAAGCTCACATATCATGTAGCTCAATCTGGGCGTCTATTAAGCATCTCTCGGCAGTAGCCATTATTGCCTCTGAGGATACAGTAATTGACAGAGCTGATGCTGTTTCTCTCGCGCATTGCTCCCTGGCCTATCCATCCTGACGCTTGTGGACCACATGTAGCTGAGGGCAGCTAGAACGAGAGCCCAACACAAAATTGGAAACATCCTTAAAACCTTGAGATGTTGTTTGCAATTTCTTTGTCACTAAATTACATATCCTTGAGCATGAATTTTATAGAAGACAGCATTACATTGCAGAGTCAACAGGCTGGGCATAACTGCAAGTCTAATGGACAATATCAAATTAAAGAACTCTTAGAAATGAATACTCATTAATTTTGGCTAGAGTGGACAAAAATTTCCATAATATCAGCCAGTGACTTTTCCACTAAGAAGATAATTAGAATTATCAGTAAGTGAAGTTGTATTTGACAAAAGTATTTTCATATAGCACAGTTATATAGGGAAAGAAGAAATGACTGGGATTCTCTATAACAGAATGGAGCTCATGCTTTGAGGA